GGGGCCGCAGCCCACGCGGTGGCGCTGTCGGGAGACGACGCCTGCGCTCGGGGCTGGGACCCGGGCCGTGACCCCGGGCTTGGGGGTGAATGACTGGGCTGCCACGACGAGTCGAGCCCGCGGTTTTCTTCGCCGCCTCGGGACTAGGGTTCGGAGATGGGACCGACCGGCCAACTTCTCTTGGCTGGCTCGGTGTTTCCCGACAGAAAGAAAACGCGACTCTGGGCTCCAATCCCGGCCTCCCCGGGTGGGGACGCGGGGGCGTAGCGGTGACTCCTTTGGCGTTTCGTTTTCTTTCCCCCTTTGCCTCGTTACCCCGTGGTTGAAAATCGATTTCTATTTTTTAAAAGAAAAACTAGATTATCAGGCCAGTCGTTGTCTCGCCGCGCGGCTGTAGAAGGAGATCCAGCTATTAAGCCCTAGACTCTGAAAAAGAATGAAGGGATCTGGGAGCCCCGGGGGCGCTGTCCTTTGTCGCCGGAGCGGTGAGCGCTCGGTGCCCGCAGGCCTTCCGCCCTCCCTGGCTTCCCGGCCCGCGGCCGCGGCCAAAGCACTCCGAACCAACAACTCTCCTTGGCTTCGAAACCTGTCCGCTAGTTTTCTTTGCTTAGGGCCGTCGGCGCCCCCACCCACACCCCCCCGACGCCCTCTCCCCTCCGTTCCATCTGGGACCCTAGTGCCAAAAGCTCCGCGTCTTCTCCCGAAGCAGCTCCAAGCTTCGCGCGTCCCCTCCCGCTCTCCGGACCTCTGCACCGTTTATTTCCCTGAACCCCACCCCCATCCGCCCCGACCCTCTGGCATCTTGGGTGTCCCGCCGCTCACCGTCTAACGCGCACTGGTCGCCCACCAACGTTCCCCCATCAGCCGTCTCCCTGGCACGCATCTCGCAGTCTAGGCCCCAAGGGCTTGTTCAGTCGAGGCTAGGAACACACGTCCACTGCCCCTGCCTTGGGCGGCCCGACGGCCGCCTCACCGCTCCGCCCCTCCCAGGCCCCTGGAGCTGCTGCGGGAGCCAGGAGGGATTTATCTTTGCCTGGCGCGGGTTTGGGATTTGTCCGGCTCTGATGCCAACAAGCAAGGCGTGCGGATAACGAAGTAAGTGTCCCCCGCCCCTGCGCTCCGGCCAGTCCCCAGATGCCTCGGGGGCAGCCTAGAAAAGGGCAGGAGCCCACCCTGGTCGATCGGTCCTTCTAGGCACGTTCCCCGTGGAGCGTTCTGGCCCCGGGGGCCCTTATCCCCTCGGCGCATCCAGTTTCCAGTCCCAGCACAGCACAGTTAATGTGGTCTGCGAAAATGTTGGTCGCCCAACTCTCCTCGGACAGTCTGCGACAGAAACTGGCTTTAGAGCTGGTGTGGGCTTCAAGTGAAAGGAACGAGTCCCTCCCGCCTCCTCTCGCCCCCAGCAGAGCAAGCCCCGGGCTGGAGGGGGGTGGGGGTGGGGGAGGCAGGCCCGCGCGGGTTCCTAGGACCCGTCGAAGGCAGTTGACGATGGCCATTTCCATAGAATTTACCCCCTATGCTTTCGGGAGTGGAAGGAGAACGCGGCACAACTTTCCCGTGTTCTCTAAGATGTGGCTCACCGCCGGGAAGGGCCTCTTTGCTAGGGTGACCGGACCTGAAATCCTGGGAGCCTGGTGATGGATGCTGGATGACGGTCGGGGCCACGGCGCCCGACCCGGAGCCAGAATCCCACGCCCGGCACCGGCACCCTGCGCTCGGGTAGTCGGGCCTAGTCCTTCCCGCGCCGGCACCAGGGAAGGAAGGTTGGCCAGAGCGGAGAGCTAACACAGCAGAACCCTCGGAAATCAAGAAATCACGAAATGTTGTCATTAAAAGTGCAGGCCATAAAAGAAAGGAGAAGAAAGGCCTGGCAAAAGATAGAGAGGGAGAGGGAGAACATGGAAATGACAAAAAACTTGCATACTTAAGCCCAGCGTATAAAGGCCCGTTGATTTTTAAAATAACAAATCTCAGTGTGATTATGAAAGACAGAAGACCTTTGACTAAATGACATGAAAAAAAATGGGAGTGGGGGAGGAAGGGGGGAAAAAGTCTGAGTAGATTGCCTACGAAAACGTTAGTGAGAAGCAATCTGAGGGATAAAAATGTCCCTCAATGTGAACTTTATGCTTTGAGCACTGGAGCAAGCCATCCTGTAATGTGCAAAAATGCGTTTAGGATCAAATTATTTTTTTAAAGTAATTAAAACCAATTCTTTTCTTAAGTGTGATTTTGTTTTAAAACTGGAAATAAACCATTTGAGGAATATAAAACAAAACCAAACAAAACTTTTGAATTATCATAATTTATTTACTGTTTTAAAAGTAGAATATCCTAGCAAAAGGTAAAAACGTTATTTAAAATTTCTTATTGTCAAAATTAAACATGCTGGAAATAATCGCTTACTTCAAATTGAAATAAAGTCAATACAAAAGTTGTGCAGTAAAAAGCTCATGTAATTTGAAACAGAAAAGGCCTTTATTAGGGACAAAACTCAAGGTGGGGGGGGAACCCATTCCGGGCGTATATCACAAAATTCCCTAAAATTCTTCCCTTTTAAATTGAAAGAAATTTGTAAAATCTAAACACCCATCTCCATGCATTCAAAATACATTTCTGGTTATAACTCATAGTATTTGACATTTCCTTCCATGTTAAATGCAATTAAAGTTTTTTTAGTTCTTTTGCCCCAAATGATAACTTTCTTCATTATTAAAAATGGTCAAGAGTAAACTCCAACAAAGAGAAAAATCAATGAGTTTAAAAGAGTGCAGAATCTGAAAACAAACTAGCCACAATGTACATTTAATTGTACTTAATTGTAAACTTTATTTAAACCGCCCTTCTCAGGGGTTTAATAATTTAGAATCAATAGTTCCTTTCAAAACATAATAAAATATTTACACTTTATAAAATATTAACCGATTAACAATACAGCTGTGTTGTTCATAAGCGTGTAACTGAAGTCCCCATAATCATGCTGTTGACATAAGCCTGTGCGAAGTGATCCTTCGCAAAATGTAAATGAAGATCTTCGGACAGTGGTGTTTATAAAATAGCTCATTAATGACTTAAGATTGAATCGGTCCAACCATTCGCATCATCAGATACAATAATAGTGACGAATCAGACAGGAAAGATCCTGGCTAAACGATTTGCATTTTTTTCCAGAAGTACTGAAGTCCTAATATCACCAATTCTTCTAAGTTCCTGGACATTGATCCGGAGGAGGATTCTGCAGTTCAACATCAAGGTAAGGAAAGAAACAGCATTATTATCGTTGTTAAGGTATTAATAAGAAATGCGCCTTTCCACATTTTGAAAACGGGCTTAAACTTTGACAGTGGTAGTAGCTGGTTTTTGCAACACCCCCTTCCCATTCTGACTTGATAGTACAGATTTTTTAAAAAGTTTGTCGATCGAACTTACAGTTTTGTCTCTTTGCAGCCCCAAACCTACCACCACGAGTTGGTTTGCTTGAGCACTTTGTTCTCATAGACTCCGAACTGTGCGTTTTCTCGAACCTTTTCTTTTAGGGAGGGGGGAGGGGGATGAGGTTTGGAGGGGGTAGGAAAACCGGGAAAAGAAAACGCAGCCTAAAACTCCCGGTGGCTCCCCGAAGGTTTACTATCCATCTTGCTTCCCGTCTTCACCCAGCTCCGACCGCCTCTGGGGTGGCCTCGGGCTCCTTTAGAACTCGGTGGGCGGCGAATGGGTGCGGGGTCCTCCGGCTTCTGGGCTCTGAGACTTAGGCCGGGGGCAGGTTTCACTTCTGGGACCCTTTCTCTTCCAGTCTCTCCCGCCTCCCCGTTCTCTGTTTTGGAGGGGAGGCTGGGTGCACACCGCGCGCCGGTTGGGTGCGGCGAGTGGACGGCGACCTTGCCCTGGGTAACCGAAGCAGACACGGCTTCCCGCTGCGGGTACACCCGACCTAGATTTCCATTAACATCCCCCCGAGCGCGTTTCCCGAAATCGAATATAGTTTGGCCCTCTGGCGCCGCCGTAGAGTCAGCGCTTCTTAAGGGGGACCGGTGACTCAGGCGATGAGATGTTGGGGGAGGTCTTGGGGTCCCTGGGATTAGGAAGGAGAACCAAGGTGTGCGGGAGGACAAGAGGTACCTCCACCTCAGGAGGCTTCACTGGCCTCAAGACGGGAGGGGACGCGTCCACATTTTCCCGCCGCAGGTCGGGACCGAGAGTGTCAGCCGGCGCCCCCAGTGTCTCGCGGGGGCCGCGGCTTCTGCCCACGTGCTTTCTTTAAGGAGGTTCCGCGTCCAAGAGTGATCTTAGTGACAAAAGCGCGGCCAGAGACCGGCCTGCTCAGCTAGTGCCGGCGCCACCTTAAATGAACACCGCGGCCAGAGCCGGGCTACAGGCGACTGCGGCCGCGGGAGTCCGCAAAAGTTTGTGGCTCAGTTACGCCTTCGCGAGACCTGCTGGGGACGCCCCCGCACAGCCTCCCCCGGGGTGGGGAGACCAGGTCCTCGCCGCTCAGCTCTGCCTGCGCTCACAGCCTAGGGCCCGAGCGGCTTGGGGTCCCAGGAGTCCCAGCCCAGCAGCCAGAAGACTGGCAGCCCCGCCGCCCTCGCTGCCACCGCGTCACGGCCTGCAGGCGGCCCGGGCTGCGCTGCTCGAAATGTCGCCGGCGCTGCGAGCGGTCCAGGGACGTCATCCAGGGATGCCCCCCGCCCCGCGCACCCCCTGCAGCCCTCTTCCCTGTGCCACCCGCAGCCCGGCGGGCAGTGCCGGTGCGCCTGCCATTCGGGACACCCGGGCTATTGTTCTGGACCCACGGCCGTGCCAGCTCTGAGCGAGAGGCGGCCTTCCCCCGCGCGTGCGGCGGCGCGGCGGGCCCGGACGGCTGGCTCCGCGCGGAGGGGGAGCTCGCAGGCACCGGGAAAAGTTGTTCGGAGGGGCGGAGGCGGTGGGTGGTGGGCGGAGGCGGTGGGTGGGGGAGGCGATAGCCCTCCTATCTCCAAAGTCGAAAGTACTCCGCGTAGTTAGTAGAACCCGGAGCCGAGGCAGCCGCGGTTGCCTCCTGCGCGTGGGTCTGTGCCTTCGCCGGGAGACCAGGCAACCAGCGCCAACCTCGTCGCCGCCGCAGCCTCCGCGCCGGGACTAGTGCGCCTCTGGGCTGGGCGAGGCGGCCGCGCCCTGGACCCGCCACGAGGAGGAGGAGGAGGAAGAGACCCCGGGCCGCAGCGCCCGCCTTCACCCGGGCGCACCCACCCACCAGCCGCGACCACGGCCTCGCGCGGCACTCGGTTCCCTGCCATCGGTCCTCCGCCGCCTCGCGCGCGCGCGCGGTCCTCGCCACACGGCTCTCCCACCGCCGACTCTCTCTCTCTTCCTTCTTCTCCCTCCTCCCAGCTCTCCACCCGCCCCTCTTCAGTCCCTCTGCCTTCTCGGCAGCCCCGCTGCTGTTGGGTCGCCTGGCTCACAGCGATTGATTGATTGATGTTTAATTTCCTGCCAGGCGGGGCCCCCCTCCCCCCGCAACCTCCCCGGCCCTCCTCCCCGCCCCCCACTCTCCTTCAATGCGGTGGACCAGTCTGGCTCGGGTTTAGATCTCTCCCCCCCAACCCCCATCCCGAAATAACCCGGAGACTTCCCCTACCCCCACCCCAAATTATTATTTTGAAGGCGCTAGATCTGGGGACGGAAAGGGGGAGGGGGAGAAATCGGAAACCGAGGACAACCCAAAAGGACTCACTTTGCCTGATGACTCAACGCAACTAATAATCATCTCCCTCTCACTGTGTCTCCCTCTGCGGCTCGTCAGTGAGTCCGGCTCCGGCTGCTGGCGGCGGCGGCGGCGGCGGCCGAGAGGGGAGAGGCTGGAGGTGACAGCTCCGGCGGCCGCCGCTTTTGCTCCCGCGCGCGGTCCCACGTCCCTGCGCCTTCTCGATTCTCAGTGGCACCGGTCCTACGGCTTCTTCGGCCGCGCCTCCTCGCGAGCTAGCGGCCCCGCGAAGCTGCAGCCCCGACCCGCCTCCGCCGCCTCCCAGTTCTCAGCCCTTTCTCTCCAGAAAGGGTCTCCTTCCCGAAGGTGTGAAAAGGCTTTTTCAGCCTTCTTCTCTCTTCTCCCCTCCTCCGTCGCCTCCTCCCGCGCTCGCTCGGTGCCCCTTTAGAGGAGCCCTCCTTTCCATCTACTCCTCCTCCCTCTTCCCCCCACCCAACCCCCCCATCATCATCATCATCATCATAACAACCATCATCGCCGCACTAAGAAGACACCCTGACCCAGGACCTTAAACGTTTGGACCTGGGAAAGGGGAAAGGGAAAAGAGTAAAGAGAAAGGAAGACTAGGAGAACACTGCAAAGCATATCACCAGAAACTTTCCACCCTGGATTCTCTACTTTTGCTCCATGGACAGAGCCCCAGCCAGCCAAGTTACAGACAGACTGTGAGCAGTAAGTACTCAGGCGCCCGCGCCAAGCTCGGGAGTCCGGGGAAGCCCCGGGTCCGGCTAGGTTCCCTCCCCGCGGCTCTCGCTCGCTCGGACAGCGCAGCGGAGGGAGTGCGGGCGCAACCTTCGCCCTCAGCCCTCGAGCTCAGCCTCTGCATCTGTCGCATCCGTCCTCTCACCTCCCCTTTGCCACCCCCACCTTGGCTGCCCGAGCCTCGGCGACGCGGCTTCTCCCCCAACCTGAGCGCCCGCGAGGATTCCCAGCGCACTTTGTTGCGCCGGGTTCCAGCTTCTCCAGGATGTCAGTGACAACGTGAGTGGCTTTTCATCAGGTGTTTCCTTCTGCGTCTCCACCCTCCCCAAAATCCAGGGGTACGGAGATCTGCGGGCTCTGCGAGGAGCGCGCTGCCAGCCAAGCGACCCAGAAGAAAACTTTTGGAGATTTAAAAATTGGGGTTGATGAAGGCTGCGCCCTCCCGCACCTAATAATTCAACTGCTTTTTGCTTTTGTTATTTTATCCTGAAGAGCTTTTGAAAACTCAGGATCGGATGATGATAACGTTCCAAAAGAATAACGATTGTAGCCCCCGCCCTTGAGGTGAAGGTTATTCAGAAGATTATTCTGATCAATATGTCCAAGTGGTTTGGAATGCTTATTAATGTGGAATTAGGGTTGATTTTGTGCAAAGTGTGTGTGTGTGTGTGTGTGTGTCCCAAGACGTGCTCGCGAAAGATAAACAGCAGGGATTCAAGGGTCTTTTTGCCAGGCCTTTGCCTACTGCCGGGCGATTCAGAGCGCCTTCACCGTGTGGTTATTTTGTTTTCTTATGGACTTGTGTGCACCCCCACCCCTCCTTGAGTGCGTGCGATGTCTTTTTATGAAGTTCATTTCTTCCGCCACTCTGACCCTCTCTTCCCCCCGACAGCAAGGCCGTCGCACCCGAGAACGGGTCATGCCAACCCTATCCCAATGAATGGATCACTTCTAGGCGCCCCTGGGCGAGGGGCCGGACTTGGTGACCCAGAGCTAACTTCTGGGGAGCAGCAGGGTCGCGGCACCCCAAGTTCGGGGTTTGCTGTGGCCACCCAGTGTCAGGTTGGGTCTGGTTTCTCCGGCCAACCGAGGTTCGGGCCCCTCGGGCAGCGTGGGAGGAAGTTTGGGTGGCTTTGGTGCGGCGCGCTGCCCCACTGGCCTAAACGTCTATCACGTGTGTGAGCGGTTTTCCCTCTTTTTTTTCCTTTCCCTCCCCTTCCCCCCCCCGCCCCCTCCCTAGGTCCCTGCGCGTTTTATTGCGACCTGCCGGTGGGAACTTTGTCTCCAAGTCGGAGCAGCATGGAGCGGCGGAGCGAGAGCCCGTGTCTGCGGGACAGCCCCGACCGGCGGAGCGGCAGTCCCGACGTCAAGGGTCCTCCCCCGGCGAAGGTGGCCCGGCTGGAGCAGAACGGCAGCCCCATGGGAGCCCGCGGGAGGCCCAACGGCGCCGTGGCCAAGGCCGTGGGAGGTAACAGCCCGAAGCGGGGAGGCGCGCGCAGCCCGCGGCCGGGGCGATCAAGGCCCGGGTGTCAGGGTTCAGGTTGATTAGGCGCTGTCGCGGTGTAGGGTTACAGGAAGTGAGTTCCAGGTTGCCAAATAATGCCCCCGTCGCCTCTCATCTGCAACTGGTAGCTTCATCTCGAGTTAAAACAAGAAAGTGGTTTACCCGGAGGCTGGCATTTTTTGGGCACTTTGCCACTATGTGCTGAGGTGTTGGCAGGTTTATGTCACAGCCAGCTAACTGTTTCTAGATTTTCCTAGAGAGCTTTTTAGTGATCTAACTCTTTTGCTTTGCCTCAAGAGTATCTGTTGTAGGGATGGAGTTTAGGTGCGATCGCTTTTATGGACTAATCTTGAATGCTCAGGTTAGACCAGGAGCAAGGGTGTTGATGTTACTTTATTACTTAGGACAGTGCTTCGAGACAAATGATTAACAGCTGGGAGTATTTCCAGCCACTTTATTTCAAGTGGGAAATAAAGAATCCCTGCGAATCTGTCAGGCCCTTAGAGACTTTAATTCTACCGTTTTTTAAAAATAAAATTTAAAGTTATATGCATTTGTAACTTTGTTACGGAATTATATAGCACAAAAGGTAAAAATGGTACAGTGGTCCTATTGACTACATGCTGTTTTCCTTTCCAAGAATTTAATATTACTTGAAATCTTTTGCAGTGTTTACTACTTAAACAACCACTTTCTTTTAAAGTGGTTAGGGAAAGTAATTTTATGAAGTAAAGATATGCAAGAAATTTAAACACTATTAAAATATTTTGAGGTTTATAGGACATATCCTTAGTTGTTTTATACATGTAAATACACGGTTCTACATGGCATGCAGTTTTTTTGTGTTTGACATAATTAATAGTTTAAACTTTTTTTGCTTCTAAAAGTTTTCTCCCCCTAATATTTTCAGTATTAGCCTGTTTAATGTTACTCTTACATTAGTCTGCCTGAAATGAAACAAAACCCTAGGGAAAGTTAGTGATAAGTTCTCCTGCTCTAAATAGCCATAGTATGTATTTCCAAGTAAAGACTCAATTCGAAATATCCAGTCCCTTTTAAAGAAATTTTATAAACAGATAATGGACAATTTATAAAAGAACAGGCTTTTGGTTTTACTTATTTTATTATTACTATTTCTTCATTGTAGACATTCAGGATGGTTTGCCTTAGTTTGTTATATTTTTCATCTCCCTTGTGAAGTACTCATTTGCTCAATTTTTAAAGCTTTAATAAAATTATTTGGCCATAGATTGTGGGCTTACATATCTTTGATTTTAGGGACTTGAAGCAAAAGAAAACTTCGTAGTTTTGTGACTCACTTTTTAGAAATAGTGTTTATTAATGTACTGTCTTGAGACTGAAAGAATAACTTCGGATTTTTGGTACTATTTTTTAGTATATGCATATAACAAAGAAAAATATATAGTGAACGTGGTGGGACCCAAGGTGAGATGATGTGATAAGTACCAGTGATGTTGGGTTGAAAAACTTTTGGAAATCCTTGGAGAGGATGTGTTCTCAAAGTGGTCTTATGCATAAGGAAAAAAAACCCAAAAAACCTGGACTGAAATTTTGGTTTCTTTCTAAATTCACTAAATTGAAAGAAATCTCTAAATATTTTAGAATGTAATGATTAACAATTGTACTTCCCTAAAACAAGTTTTTCTTTCCTTCCTATATCTTACTGAACTGTGAAGGAAGCTACTTGATTTTGGTGACCAGGGATACCTTCAGTGTAAAATAGCAGTTACTTTTCATATTTTTGGAGGTGATAATTCACATTTGACCAGTTACTACAAATTTGATAAAGACAAATATGAAGCCTTGGTGAGGAGTAATAAATTTGTTTCAATAAGCTGGTATAGTCACTTTTTCTGAGCTTTAACTTAATTTAGTAATATAAAAGATCTCTGCTGCTTCCAAATTGAAAATAAAAATGACATTATTTTGTCTCAATAAGTACCATTTATGATACTTAATAGTAAAGTGGATAAAATAGTTTACCTATAGTGGATTTTTAAAGTTTTCTAAAAAAGATTTTACTCTGTAGAACATAATAGATTGGAAAATTTTTCATTTAAGAAGTTTAAAAATATAACAACTTAGGACAAACCATTTAATAGTACAAAGTTTTCTTATTGAATGTTAATGATTATTTTGTGGGTTTAAGTTTATATATTGATAGTTTCCAAATGTACATTGAGATACATAATTTTATTTCATTATAACTTTTAATCATGTATATAGATTGGAGAAAAGCAAAGTGTTTTTAAAAATGTACTTTCTAAATTTTAAAAATATTTAAGATAATATTTTTATTTAGTGGTTCTTTTATAATTGAAATGATTGGGGGGAACATAGAGTATATATAAAATAGATTATATTTCTATTATCCTACCTCTTCTTGTTTAAATTTTCTTTATGAAGCAATATAATAACCCTAGACAACTACAAAAATATTTATAGCTCTGCATCATTTATTACCATTTTCAGATATACTGCAGTCTTGTCAATGTTGTAAAGATGGCTGTAATAATATATATTTTAAAAACAGAGCTCAAAATTTGGGAGGATGTGTTAGTTAATCTTTAGTGATTCTCTTTCTTAAATATTTAGTCTTCCCCTAAAAATAGGGGAAATCATTAAGTTAATTGGCTGCTCAATAAAGTGGCAGTTTATCTTATTGCTTCTGATAAATAGGTAAATAAATGTTTCTGAATGTGTTGGTTGCCATAATAAATTATGTTGCTGTCACTACTTTTCTAGAGGGAGAGAGAGTTTGCTGTATTTTTTGGTGAGAACTAAATGTTTTTTTTTAAAAAAAGAGAGATTATTTTAGTGTCTGGATTTGACTGGATGAGGTGGTAGAAACACCATCACAGGATCCTGTTTTAATAGGGGACTTATTAAAGTGTGTTGTTTATACTGTGTGTTGTTTACATGTGGTTAGCTTTAGAAGACTATTAGAAAGTAGATCAATTTTGCTTCGCTTTGTATTTCTAACACTTTCTAGGCTGTATTTGCTCTTATCTAAGCAGTGTGTTTTAAAGCGTGTATGTAATAAAATATAAGTGCTCAGATATATATGACAGTCAGCTTTTATAGAAGGTCCTTAGGAAAAAAAAGGCTAATATCTCTTTAAAAAACATATGAAGGCTGGGAGAGAGTTTAGAGCAAGCAAGAGCACCACGGTGTTGACAGCTTTATATCCCTGCTGGGTAACATTCACTTACTAGAATTGGCGTCCCCTCTCAGCTAGTAATTCACTCCATAAGGATTTTGAGAAAGGATGATTAATGGTGGGGAAATTTATATTCGTGAAATTGTTGATTAAAACTTACAGATCTATTTGAAGATTAAGAAAAAGAAAAGATTATTAAGGATGATGAATATAAGAATCAGATGATCCTTTTACCACCATTAGCATAAGTACCTAAAATGTTCAGCTGTATGCAATGCTCCAGCCACGCAACCTACAGCATAAAATGAAAGTGATGCCAATCAAGTTTCCCGAGGAAGCAAGGCATTCTGCTTTCCTCCTGGACTGCTGAAAGGCGCTGGCCAGTTGTGCCTTAATAGCAATAAATTACTGTGCTTCATTCATTGTTAACACAAGCATTTTCATTTTTTAATGTTTGGCTTAAAGAAGAACTTTCAGACAGCTTTATTTAAACTGAATGAACAGCGCTTGAGTATACCAGATGGTGTATTTGCTGATAGGAGGCATTAAACATCAGAAATCTTTTTGATATTTTCCATTTTCCTTTGAATTTTGATTTTTTTTTGTTTTGTTTTGGTGTTAAATGTTCTAGAGTTCAAGGGAAAATGTTTAAACACTGGGAATATCTTGTTTTTTTTTTTTTTAAAAAAAAAACACAACGACTAGCTTTTGGGGGGAAAGTTAGTTTTTAAAACAACCATTTAATTTTGGTGAAGAATTGTCTGTTGAAGCTATAACTCTTGGACCCCAAGTAGACCTATTCTTCTTGCTACTGGTCAGCCCTTTCAAGAACATAACTGTCTTGTTGGAAGGGGAAAAATATCATTATGCAATACACGCTGATGTACTCAAATTGGGAAGCAAATGTGATCATGATTGTGGGGCAGGGCCTCATTTAGAGCTGAACACTGTCTACAGTGTTAATTATCTGCAAGTGGAACATTTCCTTTTGATTAAAAGAAATGCACTTTAGGTCAGGTGTAGTCACCGTAGGAGCACTTGTAGAGAGACATTTTGCATTTTGAAAGCAGTGCAGATATGAAAGAGTATAGATACTGACCTATTGAAATGTATAAAATACTTAGAAATTTGAAACATATTGTCAACATAGGCAAAATGGAGAAAATTTGTTAAATTCATTGTAACTAAGGATGTACAACACCATTATTCTTGTGGGGAAGACTCATGTTATTACTTTAAAAGTGAAAAGGTTGTATTTCCCTCTTCTATTCCATTTTTTTTAAGGGTTCAAGTTCTTTTAAATAGAATGAACTTGGGCTTTGGGGTCATCCAACAGTCTTGTATGTCCTCTGTAGTTTTGCTGAGGTAGAAAAATAGCCCTCTCTAAAGTGTTTTCTGTCCTTGGCCTGTTATTAAAATAAAGATATACTTGGTTAAAAAATATATATATATGCAACGAAACATACACATTAAACAGAACATAGGGTATCCGCCCCTCAAAGTCCTGAGCATAATTTGATGTTTCGAGTAGTTTTGGAAGCCTTATATTCCATTAGTAGAAACCCACTGACCATTATATATTCAAGATCATCTGAACGAAATATGTGTATGTGTGTGTATTGAAACTACATAGATAACCCTTAAGGCATCTGTTTTTTAACCCCTGCGGACAATAGGTAATATCTGCTTTTTCCAGGGGGTTGTGACTAAGAGTATCAGTCTGTACCTACTACATATCCTGTGTTAATTCTTCTCCCCTTGTACGAATGTATGTATCTATTTT